CAAAGCCTTGTAATTCAACTTCCAGATAATATGACAGGTACACTAATATGCATTGTTAGTGCAAATTCATGTTCATATTACTACAATTACTAAATGAATCGTTAATAATGATGTGCCCCAACAAGTAAAGTCATAACATAATAATACATTTGCAAATCATTAGCTAATGATTAATTAAAGCAGACAACTGGAAGTTGAAGTGCATAGCTTTGACTAATTGTGGTAATTAACACATTAATTTACACTATTAGTTAATAAAATATGTTATTAAGGAATTAATACACAATGACAATGTATTACTTAATTTATTAATCATATAGACTCTTTATTAGTTGCTGATGCAGTAATCATTAATTAATAGTTTAGTTCTTCATGAGTCATATATTAACTCATGATTATCTGTGCATTAGTTAATGAATTAATGTATATTAGTGCACCCGCATTGTAAAGTGTTACCGATTCGTTGCCAGACAGTGCACAAATATACAGTTCAGTGGAATACTTGAATCTGATTGGCCAATTGCAGTATTCTGCGATTACGTATTTTTGTACACAAACAGACACAGACACACACACAGGCCAATGCTACTACTGGCCAACCAGAATCAAGTATTCCAGAAAGCTGAATAATAAATACTTTTTCTAACTTGCTTTATCCTATTCTGGGATTTCATTATTATTTCTTTATTACACAATATTGAAAATTAGGTTGTTTTTTATGTCATTTAAATACGTTTGATAGGAATGTGGTTAATAGGAATGTACTTTGAAAATACTGCAAAATTTGAAAAGTCCTGGGCTTCTTTAAACAAGAAATAATTCTCTTAGCTTCACTTGTGTCTGTCCTGTGTGCGATTACTCCTCCCCATCATACTTTCCCCTGTCAGGTTTCACTCCCTCTGTAGTTCCAGACAGACAGAGACGGGTGGCGGGCCGGTCCGCAGCATGGGGCTTTTTCCGGTTGCGTCTGCTGCCCTGCTGCTGGCCCTGAGAGATTGATTTCACGGCTCAGGCAGGCCCTAGAGATCCCAACTCACACTGCTGTCAAACAGCCTGCCCTCTGACCCCCTGCATTACGCAGGTCACGGGGCGGCGCTCTCCCAGGCTGCCCGCACAAAGGCAAATATGCTGCCATTTTGTCAGGCTAAAGGTCAACTACTCGCATGTTTTGATCACTGGTAACTTTATCAAATTAGAAACTACAGAAGTGAGAAGTACTCACAAGGCTGTGTGTGTGTGTGTGTGTGTGTGTGTGTGTGTGTGTGTGTGTGTGTGGGTGTGTTTGTGTGTCTGTCTGCCAGCACAGATACAAGTGTCTGAATGTGTCTGTTCAGACCTGAAATCTCGTGTTTCCCAAGCTTTTTCTTGTCTCATACCCAGTAATATTGAAGTTTGAAAAAATCCACATGCAGATTCACATGAGTGATCCACATGAGTTATAAATTTATGATTTGGATTATAATTTATAATCTCTATATATCCTTGGATATATAGAGATCACTTCAGAAGAAAAGGCTCACTACTATTTTTCTCAGTAGAAAGATGCAGAAAACTCTTTAAAATCATGTCTAGGAGAAACTTTTTAAAAAATCGTATTTTTTTAATAATTGAAAGAAATAAAATTATTTTATCCCAATTATTTACACTATATATACACTATATACAGTACAATTAAAAAATTTGGGATTGTTGTTTTTTATTGTTTTTGAAAGAACTCTCTTATGCTCAATAAGGCTGCATTTATTTAATCATCATACATAACGTAAAAACATTAATAATGTGAATATATTTTGATATATTATAAAATGTAATTTATTTGTTCCTGTGACGGCAACCCTAATTTTTTATCAGCCATTACTCCATTCTTTAGAGTCACATGATCCTACAGAAATCATTCTAATATGCTGAAGAGAAACATTTCTTATTATTTTGAAAACAATTTTGCTATTTAATATTTGTGATATGAAACTGTGATATTTGTTTCACGATTCTTTGATAAATCAAAAAAATTCAAAAGAGCAGCATTTATTTGAAATGCAAATCTTTTGCACCATTATAAATGTCTTTACTGTCACTTTTTGATCAATTTAATACACCCATGCTGAATAAAGGTATTTTTAAATATTACTTTTTTAAATTTTTTCTTCGGTGCATTTTACAATCTGTCAAAGCTTTGGTATTTCTTACATACAGACACACACACACACACTTCTAAATATGCAGACAGGAGATGAAAGCTTGAGAGTTCAGAGACCCTTTTCCACCCGGACCTCAGTCCCGTGGCTGATGTGTTCATGTGGATGACCACCCACCTCGAGTCACTCCACGACATAATTACGAGCAACTGCGTTACATGTGCGATCACAGCTTGAGCCAATATCGACGACCAAGGAATCCATCAAAAATCTTTCATCACACACCTAAAAATGACTTGGTTTAAAAATAACACCCCATCAGGATTTAACAGCCATTACTAACTCTAAATCTCATCCTAACAAAATAGCTAAGTCAATACTTAGGGAGGCAATAAGGATGAAACCGCTTAACCTTGTCTACCAAATTTGGATACAAAGAGCTGATAACACAAGGCTATTGGAAAAAAAGGACACAAATATGGGAGGACACATCATTCTGTAAAAAAACACACACAAAGCAGCGGTGCATTTATCACAGAGACGTCATTTCACTGGATCTGGAAGAGGAAAGGTCTTGCGATGCTCAGGGGTCAAAGTCGGATGACTTCAAAAGCATCAATGCCACTCGGATGAGAGTATAATACACACACAGGCACACTCCCACAAACATGCACAAATGGCACAATGCAAGGTGTCACATGTATCTTAGAGAATTAAGCTCCACTTCCTCTCTCAGTGAGAGAAACAAAGCCGCTCTTCCTCTTCTGTGCGGACTGAATGCATTGCTATTTATAAACAATAACATGTCCCCCTGCTGCTCCTCCTGAGGAGGACAGGATTGTTTAACACATTGTTTCAGGGACCTGAACATCTGTCTGCGCAAGACGCACGACGCCACGGCACAGCGTGAGGCCGCGGTGGCCAGACAGTCTGCAGCGATACGATCACAGACCGGTTGCCCTCTTCTCAAACGACTGCAGAACATAAAGCAAGGAATACAAGCTTGTTTTGTGGTGCAATAGAAACACTGATGCTGATAAACGAGCTGTGATACTCCCAAATAGGCATATTTGACATAACTCCTAAGAGGCAGCGTGTCCATTTTAAAGCATCGTCTGCCCTCCTTGTGGGTAGACTAGGCTTCTTGGCATGGACATAAAGAGTCTGAAATGAAAACATGGCGACATGGAGACCCACTCGGAGGAGCAAAAACCTCAAGCTTGGAATGAGAAGAGGCTCTGGCATGCTTTGTGGGGGGAAATACTGTTGTGTTGTGGGCCCACACCTTCAAAAGGGAGCACTAATCACAACATGTGATGAGACACAAGAACAAAGACAAACGTCAGGAGAAAATAACAGCGTGGGAAACCTCTGTGAACTTGAGTTACAGCGACAAAAAGAGCCACCCCCATCCCCGAGCACACAGAAAAACACACATACGCGTACAAACACGACGGCCCGTGGTCCACCCCGCTGCCACCCCTGTCCGAGGAAGTTCATCCATGCCGTCGAGCCGAAGCTGGTAGCAATAACAACATGAAATCAGCCAAAGAGCTTCCTCTCATTCATGTATGCAGAACCGATGACAATTAAGCGTGATGTGCACGGGCTGATAAGGATCCAGCTGCGGCATATCAGCCAGAAGCACACATCAGCGTGAACTTGCTCCGTTCTATTGATTGGGAGCTCTTCTGATGCTCTTGCAAGTCAATAGGGGTCATTCAACATATGATGGTTTTCATGTTAGTATGATTTTTTTTTTTAAATAACTTGTGATTTAGTTAGAAGTTGTGCTTACTCACGTATAGTTCTTCACTGACAGAATGATATTTTTAATGTTGCAGATATTTGTTGCAAAAATACAGAAGACTTTAATTGAATTTGAAATTAATTTGAACATAAATCCAGATATAATTTGAATTAAGGGGTTATGCATTATGTGAAATGGAAATAGATAATGAGATTATAAAAGTGTATAAAAGTTCTATTTTAATAATATAGCCTATATACGTATTACATAATGGAAATAAAAACGTAGCTGGCCTAATGGAATTATATAAAGACTTATATATATATATATATATATAAAAAACTATTAAATATTTGAATTCTTGCATTTTTTATTTATTTATATTGTTCAATTTTATTTATTTATTTTTTATGCTAATATGTTTTAAGTACAAAATGATAGGCAAAGTATATCAGTAGGCCTATACTGTAGGCTATATAATTATTATTACATTAAATTCTGAGAATAATAGGCTATAATATGCACTTGACAAGCTAATTGCAAATGGAAACCCCCGGGTTATTGCTGTGTAGCCTACTTGTTGTGCATGGTCTGTTTTAATTGCAGTGCACCTTTGGGAAAGCCGTCAAAGAAGGTACATGTTTGAGCCTCATCGAGTAGCCTACATTTAGACTTGGTAGCTTCCTCGTACACACTGCACTCGTTCGGATGAGTTAGTATTAGATTACAGGTTCACACGCTCACTCGCAGACCGCCCGTCGCCCCAACCAATTGCCCCATTCATTCCAGCGCCGGAGACGGCCGTCGCCCCTGATTGGTTATCAGCGTTCTGCTAAGAAACTTTCCCACGGCTTGCGCGTGCTGACAGCCGGCCAGCCACTCCTTTCAGCTGGGCTAGACAACACAAGCACCGGCGGAACCCGGGGGCGGAGCTCGGCTCTCACGGACGGACATTCTATTGGTGCTTTGTTAAGCGTATTCAAAAAGAGGGGTGGGGCTAAACTGAGACGTTGACAACCGACATGCCACTCAACTCCGGACTTGTTCGCTGATTGGCTAGCCACGAGCTCAGCCACGCCTGTCTTGGCGAGCTGCGGAGTTGAAATGATACCGTGGGAAAGCTTGTCGGTTCATACGGATGAACTTCAGTCTCACCTGACACACGCGGAGGATACGCTCTGAAATACGATTGAAAAATGAAGAGAAATCACGATTTCAGCTCCTCGGATAGTGAGCTCGATGAAAATATCGAAGTGGAGAAGGAGAGTGCTGACGAAAATGCGTAAGTTAGACGTGATTCATTTGAGTCGTCTTGCTTTATTTGAGTAAAACGTTTAACTTGCGACCAAGAAGTGAAGAAAACAACCATACGACTCAATGTGCGAACATTGAATTTAAATCGCACACAAAATTAAGATTAATATTTCTAAATCATACGTCTGTCAAAAAAAAATGAGCCTATGTGGAATATTAGCTAGAAAATCTTCCTTTAGATTTTGTTCAGGATCATATTTCATGATAAAAATGTTTTGTGTTCGTGTGCTTATGCATATTTTTTTTTTTTTTTTTTAAAGCGGTGTGAATTCTCCACTCGGATCAATGTCACCATCCACAACCTCTCAAGTGCAAGCGAGAAAACGTCGCAGAGGGGTAAGAGCGTTTTTCTTTGAAAAGTCCTGAAATCTGAATCTGTAAAGGTTAATAAATGACTTTAATGTCATCAAATGAATGTTAATAATGATGATTTGACACTCTGTTTGGACAGATCATAGAGAAGCGCCGTAGGGACCGGATAAATAATAGTCTGTCTGAGCTGCGCAGACTGGTGCCCAGCGCGTTTGAGAAACAGGTGAGTGTCAATCAACACCTGACTTACATCTCAGAGTCAGACCACTGCAATCAAATGTCTAGTGTTCTAACTGTCTAGATTTTATAAGTCTCTTTACGGGATTCAATTCATGAAATAGTCCTGAAATGTTGGCAAAAGCGGTTTAGTCCTGTATTATTAATGTGTTTAGTCCTTAATTGTTGTCATGGCACAAGAAAACCTTAAAAACGAGGATTTGTCTATCAAAGTCATTCAATTTTTTATATATACATATATTAATATATCCCAATTGTAAGCCTTTTTGTGAAAGGTTATACATTTTCCCAGAATGAAACCAAAACAAGAACTTGGCACATGTGTTTAAAAAAGAAAAAAAAGAAAAAAAAAAGAATTTCCTCTTTATCATCTCAGACATGCTTATTTGTCATTGAGCCATACCGTATACATTTCTAGTCTTATCACTTAATTCACCACCACATCTGTTCTTGTCCTCAGGGCTCTGCTAAACTAGAAAAAGCAGAAATTTTGCAGATGACGGTAGATCATTTAAAGATGCTTCATGCAGCTGGAGGAAAAGGTAAGGTTTTTTCGCACTATCATTTATTTGAAAGAAAATACACTTTTAGGTTACCGCCTTAAATTAAAGTTGCTTTGAAGTACGATCAACTTGGATGTTTAAGTAATTTCAAATTAAATTACATTAAATTGACTTAAAAAAATGTGTTGAATCTTGTGTAACTTAAAAAAGGTTGAAAATTGCTTTAACTTATTTTGATGAGTTACAACTTAAGATGTTGTCACAACTTATTATTAATTATATAACTTTTGTTAAGCTTTAAATATGCGTAACAAAATGTTTGACCGCATCTCAAACCATTGCTCTTTTATGCATTATGATATTTTCAAAACGATGTATTAATAATGAAAGTTTCTAACCAAAAAATATCGCCAAGTTTAATGTAGTGTGTAACCTTTCATTATGAGATCATCCAATGTTTGGGAATCTGCTCAAAGAAATTCCCTAAAAAAAAAGAATTACTAACCCAGACCGAAACAGGACAAACTAGATGTGTAAAGAGTCTTTTAATCTCTGTTGTTTATCTAGTGTCATTTCGGTTTCACTCTCAGCCCCTCCCAGTGTGATCTATTAATTGCACAGCGTTCCATGTCATAAAATGTAATCATTATCAGATTAGATCACTCACCAGCTCTCGTTCTCTCTCGCACAGGTTACTTTGATGCTCACGCGCTGGCCATGGATTACCGCGGGCTGGGTTTCCGCGAGTGTCTGGCAGAGACGGCGCGTTACCTCAGTATCATCGAGGGCCTGGACAACACCGACCCCCTCCGCATCCGCCTGGTTTCGCACCTGAACAGTTACGCCTCCCAGAGAGAAGCTCATTCGGGTTTGGGCCACTTGGCGTGGGGCTCCGCATTCGGGACGCCGCCCGGCCACCTGGCCCACCACCTCCTCCTGCAACAACAGCAGGGGGCGCCACTCTCACGCAGCACCAGCAGCCCTCCATCCTCGAATTCTTCATCGCCCTCCTCCTCCTCATCTTCATCCGCCGCCTCCACAGAGCCGCACGCCCCCAGCAGGCTGACCGGGACGGGGATTAGCGAGGCAGGGCAGACGGGACCGCTGAGGGTGCCGCCCAGTACCTCCCTGCCCCCTGGCCTCACACCACCGACTACATCCAAGCTTTCCCCGCCCCTCCTGACGTCACTTTCAAGCCTGTCAGCATTTCCCTTCCCTCTGAGCGCATTTCCTCTGCTGTCCCCGAGTTCGCTGGGCCCCGCGACTCCCTCCAGCAGCCTGGGGAAGCCCTATAGGCCCTGGAGCATGGAAATAGGAGCCTTCTGAACTCTGCAAAAACAAGACTTTTCTCTGTAACATTTCAAAGAGATGGACACAACCGCAGAATTCCTCTCTGTACAAAGGGAAAGAGCGAATACAGAACCGATGTACGACCCTGTCTTTTGAACGTGTCCCGTCTCAGGTCGAGCAGAAATAAGATCTAGAGATGATCGGGTTCTCGCACATCAGTTCTGAACAAATCTAGTTCTTTTGTCCCTCAGTGAAGAGGTGCATGCTAGAGAGAGAGAGAGAGAGAGAGAGTTAATGGAGTTTAACTCAAAACAGATTTAATTATATTAAAAATAATAAAGGGACATTTGATAACATGATGTGATACTTACATCTTCACCAATTGTTCAGCATTTCTTTGATATTAAAAAATACTATGCAATGAAGTTGAGGTTTTCCAACTTTCCATCTGCACACACTGTACAAAACCTATGCAACTGAACCTGTATTCCTCAGCTGAGTATACAGTCTTTTTAAAAAAAAAAAAAAGATTTAAGTCTTTTTGGTCAGCGAACTGCAGTTGTGTTTATTTGTTTAAAATGTAATGAATTTGTTGTTTGCAGGGATGGACCACTGGTACACCTTTACAGAGACAATCTAAATAGACAATCTCTCAGAACTGCACTAATGTAATTGTAGCACAGGCACTGTTAGGTATGTTAATAGCAGAATTGAGCGCTTACAGGCATGTTCACCCTTCATGCCCCATCATCTCTTTCTCTCTCTCTCAGTTAACTGCAATTTGGAAAACCAGATCGTTTTTTATGGTAATAGGGAATTTGCACTGGCAAATCAGATAAGATTAGGGGAATAGATAGTACTGGAAGAGATGATGTGGTACTGTGCCTGTCCCTCACTAACCTGTGTGACTTTCCTGTAATAAAATGATACATGTAGCTAATAACCATGGATTTGTGTGCTCATGCTATAATTTTTTTTATATTGTCATAGACACATTCAATACTGCGAATGCACAATATATCAATTGGTACCATAAGAGCATTTTAGAGATTTTTGGTTTTGCGTGCTAATTTCTTTTTACATTTATATTACCTTATGCCTTCATCTAACTCTTAATTAAAATGAATCCACTAATGTAATAAAAACGCTAAAAGTAATTTTCAACAAACCTTTACATATTTTCCTGTACATTAATGCTATCATTGCTAAATGTTTTTGTTTTATTTTTCATTTATTTAGATACATTAATATAATTATAATATAATATTATTTAAATATTGACCATAACATGCCAATAATTATAAGCTATCTATTTGCAAAATGTAGGCTACATTAGATGCCTACAATCAGTTTTAGCATTTAAATTGATTGGTTTGTGTGTATTCATATTTATTTGGATACGTTTTAAAATGACTATAATTATAATATTATATCTTTTAAATATTGGCCATAATAGGAAAATACTGATCAACTATTCATTTTTCATATACTGTACATTTTAATGTTATGATGCCTAAATTCAGTTTCAACATTTAAACTGATTGGTTTTTTTTATTTACATTGATTTAGATACATTTTATTACTAATAATATAATTATAATATAACTTAAATCAGCCGGAATCATGGGTGCATCAAAATAATAATGACATATTTTTGTAACAAAATGACCGTTTTTACTGACATCTGCATTGAATATTTAGGACAAATCTCACAGTCTGATTAAAACATTAAACAGTCACAGCAAACTGCATTCATACATGTTTATCGTCCAGATTTGTTGGCGTGCTTGACGTGTTCCAGTCACCCCTCTCTCTCACAGGTGGATATACATAAATAGGCCTTACATGTGATTTAATGCTTTGAGGAAGAATAGTTCCTTTCATGGCGCTGCAGATTTCTATAGGGTTGAACCAGTGCCTGTATGCGTGCGTTTTGAACTGATATCAAACACGGCCCAGGGGCCTCTCTGTGGCCTCTCTATGTATCCAGGAAGCCATTAACAGCCAAGGGATATCCTGGACAATGGCAGCCTGGCTGGCCCGGACTGCACAGGGAGGAAAGAGAGAGGTACAGAGCGAGAAGAGAGGGAACGAGAGAGAAGGGAGAAGTAGGAGGAGAGGGCCGCACAGTGCAGCTTTGTCCCAAAGCAATCACAGCAGCTCACTGAGCTCCTGGTGTTGAGCACTCCCACGCCACCATGGGTACTATCCTGCCAGCCAGCCAAACCCGTAAAACAGATTCCCACCTACACACAGCACACTGCCAACACACTTCTTTATTTCTCCAGCTGCCTTTAAATGTATTTTAGAGGCTTTTATCACATGTTTTTTCCTCTCATTCCCCCTGGAGGTGATGGTTGGATTCCATAAACCTGGAATATTAAGTAGATACTGTAGCAGTAGCGTACTGTACTACCCAAACTATTTATGCAAAACTACATGCATAAACACCTGGATGACCTATGATTTGCCGAAAAATGCTGTATACAACAGAGCATACGGTGTTTGGTACTCTATCCCAAACCACAAAATGCTTGATGAATGGACCAGAAATAATTTGTCATTATTTTTATCTTGCTACTTTACATTCTCGACTTATTGAATTACCAACAGTACAGTTTGTAGTTTGCAAAAAAAGTAAAAAAAATATGATTAAAGTAAAGTTGCAATATGATTGTGTCCAAGATGAGCAATTAAGATACTTATTCATAAACAATTTTTTTAAGAAATATTAGGCAGTACTGTACGCTATGCTGTGTAGTATGCAATAAGCCATGTACTATACTATAGGCCTACTACTGTACTACCAAAGGCAATAACCATGTTTGAAATGGAATACTAACTTTACTGTATACCTTTTAGTATATAAATAATTATTTGATTATAAATGTTAATGTTATCCCAGTTAACAAAAAATGTTCTAAGAACGTTTAGCTAACGTTCACATCAAGTTATGAAAATTATGAACGGTTCAGGGGAGAGAAAAAAACATTCCATGAATTATATTAAAATTAAGTTTTGTGTTTTTTAAAGACCACATCATTTTAAACAAATGTCCTGAGAGAGCACGTTGAGAGAACTTTCCATGTTAGCTGGAATGCGACAACATCGCCATAGCCTATTACAAATTTTGTCACGTGAGCTCATCACTTGTTTAGAATGTTTATTCACATTTGGGGTAAAATATCAACATTTGGCAACCCGATCAAATAATGAGTAAAGAAACATTTTAAAAATTCACGACTAATATTCGCCATCTAGGCCTCTTGTTCAGTTCATCCTACTTATCAAGTGGAAGGTCAAGTCGAACACACTGCACTTAAGATGCACAATAAAATAAACTAGGCCTATATTGCATACTGCACATTTTGAAAGCAAACTTAGTGGATATATACGGTAAGTTTTTTCCATAAATAATTTCCCCACACTATAATGCAAAAGCTAGAGAAGTATAGTGCTATTGCGAGTTTAAAAAATGTTTTCTTGCCAAGTCATTTATCGCCACCTGTTAGAAAACTAGGGTATTACACATTGTTATTTATCGCATAAATGTTACGTTTTGTGCGCAGTTGTTACATTTGAAATCGAATTTTGTGTTTATGTTAATGTGTATGTTGTATGAAATAAAAACAGACTCAAAGACAGATATTGTCATTCCAAGAAACCCAAGCCTTTATTCACCACAGCTTGCTCCCAAAGTTACATGTGAAGGGAATAAAACACACAGCTGGAAGAGAAATATGAGGGTAGGCTGTGGGCAGGTTTATGACATTAAAGCAATAGCTATGGCACATTATAACACCGTCTACCCACACTGCTCTTGACACAGACACACACACTTACACAGATCATCATCTTGCAATGTCCATTTTATTACCAGATATCAACCTGAAAATCGTTCAAGAATTAGAATGGGAGAACTTCAGTACTGTGATTCTCAAGATAAGAACTCAAGGTTAACTTGATGTTAAGCTGTCAGCATAAATGCAACCCTATGGTCAAACTAGTGATTTTTTTTATGTGATTTTTTTTTTACTAAATCATGCTGACCTGGTCCATATGTGTGTGTGTCTGTGTTTTGTGACTATATACCAGATGAATGTATAAAGAAAGAGCTAGAGATTCTTGTAAATGCTATGTTAGTGACCGGTTAGAGCTGTGTGTACTGTACTGTGACGGCTTTTACTCTCTCCACATGGACATAGAGACACAAACATGATCATTGGGTCTAGAGAAGACGTTGCAAATGTCAGCTAGCCAGCAAACTCACAAACACCAAAGCCCGGTACAAGAAAAACTGTAGCAGATCTGAAAGAGAGAGAGAGGGGGGTACATCCACTTAAAGATAAGAATACAGAGAGAGAAACTTATAAAATGGCACACCGCAATACTTTTCATCGTCTCATATAAAACAAATAGGAAGTATTTACAAAAAAAAAACACACCCACTTTGACTGGTTTCAAATTGATCAAAAACATTTTTCTTTTTCTGAACTAATGGACTGCTCCTTTTGTCTTATGGGCTATAATGGGGAGGATGCTGTTGGTGAGAGGGGCAGGGTTGATTCTTTTGGCCTGGGCGGGGCAGGGCAGGGGGGGTGGGGTGCCAGAGGCTCTTTTCTGCACAGGGCTGCGGTGGCAGGGGGAGAGGGGGTCTCTCTGGGGACGGGAGGTCGCACGGGTATTGGGAGAGGGGGTGGGGTGATGGGACGGTGGGTGTAGAGAGATGTGCTCATGCTGTCAACTCTTCCATCAGCTCTTTGTTTCTGCGCACCACCTGAGCGTGCTTCTCCTGAAAGCACATAGAGAAATAACACAGGACATTTATCAGCAGTTTATGGCTCAAAGTTGATATAATGTTGATAAAAATGAAGAAAATACAATTCTTGTTTTTAAAATGCCTTTGAAGTACTCTTTTATTGTAATGTAGTGCCCTCTTGTGACAGAGAATCTGATTAAATGTGTACTTTGGGTGGTTGGCTGTATTTTTAGGGTGTTTTGGGTGGTTGTTTACAATAGCCTCAATCAAAAGAGCCCACATTCAAGTCTCTACGATATTCTAGAGATAGCACCTCCTTCAATGTAAGTCTTCTTTTCAAGATGTGGGACAAATTATGCATTTAAGAAATGTTTCTTGAGCACCAAATCAGCATTTTGGAATGTTATGTGACACTGAAGACTGGAGGAATGATGCTGAAAATTCAGTGTTGATTACAGGAATATATTACATTCAAAAATATATGTTAAAATTGGCAACAGTTATTTTAAATTAGGGATGCACCGATATGAAAATTTTAGCCGATACCGATAACCGATAATTCTTTATATTTGAAAGCCGATAACCGATATATCGGCCGAAACACTTAAATCCAAATTTGTATCTAATATTGAGAGCCTGATTACAAATACAAAAGTCTCACAATTAAATCCATGTCCCAAGCGCACAATTATAATGATGTTCTCATTATAGTGTTGATTTATATTTAAATTTTTTGAAGAGATTTCAATCATCTTTCAAGAAATTCAAAAACATAAACAGTGCACAACAAGTGTCTCAGCTAAAGGGAATAATACATTATTTATCGGTTTTAATATATCGGCCACATTTTCTTACCAGGCCGATAACGATAACATTAAAAATGAACATATATCGGCCGATATATCGATATGCTGGCCGATATATCGTGCATCCCTATTTTAAATTGTAATAATTTTGAGTGTATTCATGTTTAAATACAGTAAACGCGTACTGATCCCGTAGTGTAAGTTATTATTCAAATCCTGACCTTCTCATGCAGCCGTTCCAGCATGGCGGCAAGGTAGGCCTCACGGTTCTCCTTGTTCTGTTCCATCTTCATGATGAGTTTCTCCTCTGCCATCCTGCTGAAGTTGCTGTTCTCCTCCATGGCTTTCAGCAGGACGTCCCGCTCATGATCACGTTTCTCAGCCAGAGCCCTCAGGACTTGAGCCTCCTGGGACTGGAGGAATAAACATTAGGGATAAAAATAATATAAACAAAATGGCAAACATCACAGGTACAGATACATTCTAAAAACAAATAGGTCACTCACTCTCCTCCTGTCCTCTGCGGCCTCCAGCTTCTTCTGGATGTCCTCCAGAGACATGTCCCTCTTCTTAGGAGGTGAAGAGATGCTGTAGCCCCCGTCAGCCGTGGGAGAGGGTGGCTTCAGGATGACCTCAAAGGCCTGGCCAGAAGCTCGCTTGTTAATGGGCTTAACCTCCATGTCTGAGCATGTAAGACACAAAGTGAAATAGATGTTGTTTAGAAACTGCAGGAAATATCCATCTGCACATTGGTAGTGTTTGAGCATCCGGATCCATGCAATAAAATCGCCTTCTGCTTGTGAAATGAGCTTGTGTAACTTTGTTATACAGCCATCCTAAACATTTATCAGACATTTATTATCTATATTAGCTGTTAAGATAATAAATGTTCAGTGCTGTACACATACAGGCCAATAAAAAATAGATTATAAAGATCAAACAGAATGAGGTCTATAAAAGCACAGCACATTATTGTATGTCATTGCTGGTATTATATATTCATTTCCTACCTTCAAACTCGCTCATGAGGTTCTTGCGCGCCTCTGGGTAGAGACAGGAGCAGATGAGGGAGACGAGGGAAAGCTCCTTCATCTTCTCTTTGTATGCTGCAGAGACACATCAAACACAAGTATTGACCCAGATTCTCTCTCGCTGTTTTATGAATGATTATTCGAAACTGCATCGCCAATGTTGCAGAAAATAACCCAAATCATCAAGGTTTTCAACCAGGGATAAACTGACTGATGTATAATATGTATTTTTACACAATAAGTAGTTAAAATATATAGATCAGTAGATATGTAGAATCTATCTAACTATCTGGGGGGGAGAGAAATGGTAAATATAAAATTAAATTCAATTGATATGACATTTTTTACTATCATTATTGAGTGTTTGTGTGAGATTGTGTGTGTTCAGTAAAGCTATTATTGAATATAATACATATACACTCAGGGGTCCACTGACTTTATAAAAGTAAAATATTGAAATTAATAATATTTAATTATATATAATATTATCTTACATTAATTTGTTAATTTGTATACACACACATGTAAAGTATTTTATATATATATATATATATATATATATATATATAATATTTAAAAGTACTGCCAATGTTTATATAATACAATGTTTAAGTATTATGTTAAAAATGTTATATGTTGGGGTTCTGAGTCCAAAAACAATGACAAACCCTCATAAAAATATTTAAAAGTACTGCCAATGTTTTCATTTGTGCTTTCTAAGAAAAACCAGCAGCATGTCCTCACATGCTCTGGTTTCCTACAAGACAATGTTCCCCACAAGATCCACCCATCCCCCATCGCCCAACCATCAGTGATACATTATTTATTAAAAACCATTTTTACTCTGACTACTGAGGGTGTGTGAGTCCGCAAGACCAGAAAAGACACGAGGCGAGACAGATTTCCAGATGGCTTTTTTATGATGACAAGACTTAGATCCTAACACCATAATTCCTCATCCACAACTTCATTTTTATTTTTCAGCAAGTGCAAACAAGCCTAAATCACACAACACATCAGTATGGCAGATAATACATGAAGCATATTAATGTATCTGATTTTCCTTGAACACATTTATCAAAGCCAGCGCATTTGAGTTATAAATCAATGTCTTGACAACAGTGCTATGTTGATGTTATCAAACCGTGCTTGCTTGGGTTTCTCCAGCCAGATATCAGGCTGCTATCATGCTTTCCAGAACCAACCTACTTTCATCACTCTTTGCCCAGAGGAGGATGGAAAAATCTGATCAACTCCCTCTCGCTCCCTGACGAGTTTATTAATCCTCCACAAACAGAGAATGGAGAAAACTGGGAAGGGAAGAAGGGGAGAGAATCACTGTGTTCACTCCCGCTAGGATTAAAAGCCCTCAGGCAGGTTGCTTTTGGTGTAGGTGGCTTTAATTAGTAATTACTGGAGCAAACCATTTCTTCCGGTAAATTGAGGGGGTGGCAATGGACCAAAGTAAGCATTTCTCTTCTGCTGTCTAGTCAGAGTGAGATAAGGACGATAGACAGCTCACTGAAGCAAGTAATTCAGGTCAGCCGGCTGGTGAGCAAGTGAAAAGGATCTCACACAGACGGATGAACCTGTGTGCAATACAGTGAGATAATCTAGAGATTTTGCTGGAAAATATCAGAGGGTTTGTAAATAAAAAAGAGTAACCACACCTTAGGCTTGAGCTGTAGCTATTATGGCCACTGGTCAAAAAAAACATTGATTATTGACATAATGGGTGGTCTTTGTAAACTCTACATTACGGGGAAAAAAAATTCCCACAAAGATGATAATATCCAAAATCTTTGTCCTTGTTGGGGAATTTTTTTAATGTAAAAATGCAGGAAGGTTTATGGTAGGTTTAGAGTTAGGGGTGAAATATACAATTTTTTCAGAGTATATAAAGCATTATATCTCTGGAATGTCACCATAAAGCATGAAAACATTTTTGTTTTTCAATGCATTTTTTGCATATACACTGTAAAAAATATTGTTGGTTTAACTTAAAAAAGTAAGTAACCTGGTTGCCTTAAAATTTTAAGTTGATTGAACTGGAAAAAGTGAGTTAATACAATGAAGGAGATTAATTTAATCATCAGAAACTCAAAATAATAACTTATCTCAACTAAATAAATTATTTAAGTTAATTTGACAAAAGAAAAAAATTTTGTGATAACAAATCTGGAAAATATGTTTACAGTGTAGCCTAATGAAACGTGTAGCTGTAGTTGGCTTTTATAGTCAAATAATTTGTCAGATAAATATCTTAACCAAGTTTAGTATTTTGTTCTTCCCTCATATTTAAAATATTTAAATATTTAGAACATAAAATATTTTGATGGTTCAAAAATCAAATCTGTAGGATCATTAAAAACAGATATCACTTTTGCCACTAATATATTTTATACTGTAACGTTTATAATATTTATAATGTTTATAATAGTTTTACATATATTACTTTTTTCCATGAAGTAATTCTAATTCTATAGCCTATTTTGTCCTGTCTGATATATCATTCCATGCATTACAGTTATGCAGACCATGCACTGCATTTGTAACATTTGGTAGAAAAAAAGTGCATTACTCAAAATTTGCCACCAGGATCTACGGCCCATAGTGACAAACGAAAAGTCCTTTGTGTGGTTTGGTTTGTTTGATAATGCATCAGCATGCCCACCCTGGAAATCAATAATGGCTCCTCCCATCTCTCTCATTCTCTCTCACACATGACATGAGCATATTATGCTCTGTCCAGCTGGACAAATGCCTTTCAATGTTCAATAGTGATCATCATTACATCTGTTCACAATAAAAACCACTTCATTTTAATACGTTATGGCAATATGGCAATAGATGTATGCTATGTAATATATTTATCATATGGTTGACATTAAAACCTAAAAATAATTTATCTTAAAAAGCAATGGCCCCACCCCACTGCAAAGCATTGCTAAATGTGAACTTCCTGTTAGGTTAACGATTAATGGGGCTTGATTGGATTAGTCATACTGCTTTCACATATCCAGTAATCTTAAATGATAAACGTGCATGGTGGGGGTAACATGAGGAGATCTTTAAAATAAGACAAAGACAGGCACCTGGAAGCTCAGTTTTGATCAATGATATGCGATTGTTGCCAATTATCCAATTGTTACTGTAATTAAAATGCGTAATTTAAAGTATAATTAAACAAGCCATGCTTTTAAAATAGAGAGCTAATTTTCTTATTTTGTAGGTGCAGACAAATGCACCAAGGTCTTTCTGCAGGCTCTTTTAAGCCCTATAAATATTTCAAGTGTATTGATTATATTGATTGACATGTGCTTTCTCATTAGCGAAAGGAATCCCACAGGCATTTGTCAGGGCATTTATTGTGTGTTCTGTGAAATGAAATATCCTTAAGACAATACCCCATGTAATTGCATTGCATGGTAGGATTAAGTGTAAAATATTCCACAAAACAGATGTCACTCCAGCATTTCAAGTGACATGACAGCTAGAACAGAGACGTTCACCCTCAGTCCAACAGTGCCCTGCCCTGCAGGCGCCTCAAAACGATGCGATAAAGCCGACTCACACCTTGTCTATGGTATGCCCCAGTTTGGCCGCCTACAACATAATCCAGAATCACAACAGCACTGAGACATGCTTGCCGGCGAGACGACTTCAGCCCTGACACACTTCCATTTAAAACATCAATCATCTGATACTGCAATCTGCCTCGCATATGCCGCTAGTAATGGTGTGAACGAAAGGATGCACATACAAATCCACAATTACGCATTAAAAACTTGTTTAATCATCAAGAAGTTTTTTTTTTAATAATGAAATAATGTTAAATAATGACGTGCTGGCAGACTGTATATTAAAGGTGTGAGAACAGATTCTTATTCACCAATTATAAATAAGGTCATATAAAACTATTTAGTTTTTTGGAGTCCCCAAATCAGTGCAAAACACTGAAATTAAACTAATTAATTTATTATTTCGGATAATTTCCAAAAATTAAGGAATTTAGTGTATACTGCATAATAAATATCCCTTCGTGGATAAAAACAACAGTTTGCAATAAGCTATTCAGTTTGCAATTCAGTAACTACCATGTCGTATTTCACTATTACGTCTTTGTTTGGCAATAAATATTCCATCCACACCTAGCTAATGTAATGAAAAAGGATATAAATATCGTATAGATGATGTCCAAAGCTCTGAACTGTTCCGAGTTAGGCATTGTCAGGTTTTATTGGATTTTCTCAAGGCTAAAACACAGAGCTGGATCTTGGGTGGGGTCCTTCTGCATTATGCTGGAGATATGAGCCGGCAGGTGCAGTGTCACCATAAGAAAATCCGTTTATGTCTTTTAAAACATGTTGCAGTACATTTTAAAAGAAGTGTGCTCTATTATCAACACAATTTAATGCTTTTCCTCATTTATAATGTATATTTTTTCTCTCTCTCTGTAAAGGTGAGTAGGCAGCCTGGGTGCACCCAAAACGCACAGCCATATTTGAAAATAAAACAGCATGGTGTGTTAAGAAAAAGCAGATTTATCTATCTAAGAAATAACTCAGACAGTAATTGAAATCGGTTTTTGTTTTTAGCTAGAGGACTTTTGTTTCTCCTGCATCGGGATCTTTTGTGCGCGCGACAGCATCTCTCAGCATCCTGCATCAAAGAGACATGAACCGGCGAACAAAATGAAGGATGGTTTGTCTTACCGATAGCAGTTTTGGCCATGGCTGGGGTTGTTGCGGTGACTGGTGCGTCTCAGCTCTGTTTCGGTGGCGAGGAACTGGTTCGCTTCGATAAGGCACTGAGTCAGCAGAACTGCGCTCTGAGGGAAAGAGTGCGCGAGAGCAGCTTCGGGAATTATGAGCGTGCGTGTGTTCAATCAGATTGGCTGCTGTTGTCCCTTCACGCGCAGCTCTAAGTGAAAGACTGTCGCGCGCTCGCTCTAATGTACCGGAGGATGTCAACGGTGAGGAGCTTACAAGGTGACTAATTGAGTCTCCCCCCTTTCTCAGAAATGGTGCAGACCGTTCATGCACAGCGCCCAATGATTTATTCATTTTATATCAGCCTAAGCCTACTATGAAAGACGTTGGTAACTTGCATTTATGGCATTTCATACAGTAAACTAGCACTGATAGGCCTAATCTCGTATGGATTGTAATGCTTGTCTTCTGCCATCACTGATTGATGGGGGCTCTGTCTCATAACGGTCACATTAACAGTAGGCCTATTCATGAGTCGATAGGCCTATGCTACGCACTTGTATTTTAGAATAGCTACATTTTACATTAATATAATGGCAGTAGCATCGGCAAAGCAGCACTGGGACTTCCCCTCCCAGCACTATTAAATGGGTGATGTGATGTTCCTTGTTAATATGTGTCAATATTATTTAGCCTAGTTATTTAAAAAAAAATATTTAATTTTCCTCTTTAAATTATTATAGTGACTTTGGAACATCAAAATATGTTTAGAAATATTTAATCAATGCATTTTGTAAATCTATTTAGCAGATTGAATAAATTAATTCATTGTGTGTATGCATTACTTTTTTATTATTATGCTTACAAACAAAACAAAGATGACAATATAGCATACAATTCTGTTACAAAATTGCAAACATATCTGGACAAAATATATGTAGCCTACTTTCTAATCCGATCTCACGACCAAATCGTACGAATTCGACGCATGACTAAAAAGTGTCTAATTCGTACTAATTCGTACGACCTCTGGTCGTGAGATAGCGTAACTTCTGGTTCCAGACGGGACATATATGTGACAACATAAATGACAAGAGCACGAAATGTAGGCTATTGAAAGTAGGGCCTATTATAAACATCAGAGTAGTAAGTTTTGGTGTTATACAAATGTGCATTGAAGAAATACAAAATTATAAAACACTTCTTTAAGAATAATAAATATGCTCGTGTAGTCATTCAGCCATGATGATGTATCACTACATCAACATGCACATCCAGTTCAGCTCCCATTAGAAATGCACATGGCTTGCAAGCATCAATTATGAAGGAAGCGAAGTCTGCACAATAAATAATAAAAGTTCTGCTGTCTGAACAAATCGGTTTAGAAATGGACAGCATAAAATGAAGGACTGCAAGCGTTGCATTAGGCTAGACCCCTGTATCTCACAGTGTACAATGGTCATAGATTAAATAATCCATTGGTCAAATTGGCATTTCAGAGCAATCCTGCAGTATCTTGATTTAAATAACAATATATTTATATCTTCATGTTTTCATTGTTATTTTTCATTGCTTCTAAACTGAAGCCTACATTCTTAATGGATCGGATAGCCAGGCTACTATCTATCAGACATGTCAGCTCAGGGTCACGCCTAAACATTCACGATCAAGACGCACTGCATTATTATTTTCAACCACTAGATGGCAATAGATCCTTAATTAAGGAAACGAGCTGTTTATGGCCACACAACTTGAGAAATCTCTTAAGACAAGACAAAGCTGTCTGTTAAGAGGGGAAATTGATTTATCAGTGTAGTACTAATCTTAAAGCTGCTGCTGGCTATGTTGAATTACCTAAAAGCACATAGGCAATGAACCGTTTATCTGAAGTCATTCATTAATCAAAATAATGCATATGTCCTTGATGAATTTAAAATGAGTTTTAGTTATGCTTGAATGACACTTCTGTTTAAAGACTGCATAGTTTTCAGATATGGTCAGAAGGAAAATTCATTTTAAGAGCAGTGAGAGGATTGTTGTAAATGTTAGAGTTTAATTAAAATTCATAGTTATGCATTGACTAGAGAACTGAGTCAAACTGAGGATCTATTGTGTTTCAGCAATGGTCAGGAATGCACTGTACTCATAAAACCAATAAGCAGTGAAAGACGTGACAGCTCTGAAAAAATAAATCCAACACAAATCTCTTTTAAAACCAGTTGCCTTCAGGAGAAATGTCACACGGCTGTGCTTTATTAGGCTACTGCCAAAGCTGAATAACAATTTACATTGAAATAATTATGATTATTATAATTATAATAATTATTATGCCTGATTATGAAATAAACTAAGTGATAGTTCACTTTGAAATTAATTTTTGGTATGTTTAAGCTTACCTCAAGGGCATCCAAGATGTAGGTGTCTTTATTTCTGCAGTATTTTCAATTTTGATATATTTTTTTTTTAAGGTCAAACCGTTCTTGTCTGTCAGTCATATAATGCAGGTCTATGGTCACCACCACCCCAAAGAGCATGCACAGAGAAGTCCAAATTAAACATGATTTAATGACTCATAAATGTAACATTGATGGCCTAAGACACGAAACAAGTGGTTTGTGTGAGAAAATGTTCAGTATTTATATTGTTTTAATAATAAAAATAAAAGTTTAATAATAATTGCTGTCCTCACAGTGGACATGAATGAAATCAATGCTCTGTTTTCAGTGTTTTGTATCAGAAAGCCTTATTTGGATAAGAAACCCCATAACTTTTCCTAAGATGTTGACAAATGATTTGAAAATTAGACAGATTTAAATGAGAATTACAAAATATTATTATATTTCCATAAGAGTACTAAATTCGACCATTAAGCTAATGTCAGTCATCGTTAAAGGCCAAGGAGAAGTTGTTTTTATGGTGAAACCTCCAAACATTTATCTCCGAAAAAGCCTGAATGTGCTTTTTCAGGACATCCAGACTGAGTGTGACAAGAAATTTGCTAAAATATAATGTCCACTACTACAGTCTTCAGTCTACAGAAAATAAAAGTCTATTCCAGGGACCACCAGGAGGATAATGCAGTCAACAGTGCAGGGAAGGAGGAGACGGAGAAGAAGGGGCTGGCCTAATGTCATGAGTCTCCTCCTCTTCTCTCACCACAGCTCCACGACACGTCCGCGTAGGCATCTCTATGGCAGGCATCCACGCACATGGCCCACGCGTTCTTCAGTGAGAACAGGTGAGGTCTGATCAGTTAAACTTTATATTTCACACTCCACCGCACCAGCTGCTGTAGCAGAGCCGTCTGTCCGTGTGAGACAGCCAGCCAATACTACACTGACCTTTAGCTAACAGATGTGGATGGGAGTCAGAGTTTTCTTTGTCGTTTATCCTATGGAGAGCGGCCAAGTAACATTAAAATTATGTGTTTTGTAAAAAATGTTGTCAAATTATGTAAAAATGTAAGACTAAACCTGGACAATGGTTTGTTAACTTCCTCTAACGTGTCCTGGAAAGAAACAATGTAAGTTAGATGGCGGATTGATAAAGATACGTTGAACGTTACCGACCATATAGATATAGGTTGAAGCGTTCATAAAATGATAGAAGATAAAGGTGGTTATTTAATTCTGTCAGTTTTTTATGTTGTTATAAAGTGAAGGAAGACGTTTTTGTTGGCGCGAATCGACCATTTAAACTCAGGCACGTCAGAATGTTGCAGCTTCGCTGAATCCCCGGAAGCTTAAAAAACATAAATGAAAAAAAAAAAAAGCTTAAAAAATGCATAATTGAGGTAACGTTAACGTTATCTCTGAGGAGTTTTTTTTTGTTTGTTTTACAACCAACACGACGTTAGTAGATCGTCCGAGTGTATGTAAGCGCGACCATACATCACCTTCTTGTTCTTTATCACGTTTTGATTGTTTCATTGTCTAGAAAAGGAAGTGTAAAGTTACATGCTTCAAAGCTGTTGTAATACTCCTGTATTCCGAGCAGATGTGGCATGTACATTTTGTTCCTGTTTGTCATCATTTGACGTTAGTATAATAAATCAAGTGGTGCATGCAGAGCCAAATGACATCAAGCTCCTCCTGTCATAATGTACTCGTCCACGTTTGTACTAGTCTAGCTCCACCTCTGTGGATCTAATGGTTGAAAGGGATAGTTTTGGCTTGGCTAAGACTCTTCTACTAGCTTCACCCATTATGCCCATAATACATCTAGAGTGGGGGAGCTTGACTTCACTCTCCACCCATGGCTCTGCAGTGAGCAGTTCGTCTAGTAAATGGTAATTTAAAGGGATAGTTCACCCAAAAATGAAAATAGTCATCAATTACTCACCCCCATGTCGTTCAACCCGTAAAACATGTTCATCTTCGGAAGACAAATGAAGATTTTTTTCTTTTTGATGAAATTGAGAACTTTCCGACGTCCCTCCATTGGCAACTGACACTTTGACGCTTTAAAAAGTCCACAAAGAGATCGTAAAACTAATCGATATGAATTGAATTGAGTGGTTTATTCCACATTTTCTGAAGAGACGTGATCGATTTATATGATGAACAGATTGAGTTTAGGATTTCATTCACATAAATATTCTTCAACCTCACACATTGATATGTAATGATAAACAGAAGGTTAGTTAAGCATGTTCGCTGGATGTGTGAGAAACATTGAGAAGGTTCTGTTGAGCTTCTGTAATGTCCACTGATCAATGTTTCAATGTGAATAAAATCCGAAATTAAATCGGTTTAATATGTGACTTTTACAAGTTAAATTCTTTCATATTTGATGCATAACGTAGTTTTCAAATGATTATATTTCCATGTAGTTTTAGTGTCAAATGAAAGACATTATCTCTAGTTGATTTATCTCTTCAAAACAGTTAGCTCTGCACGTTGTTGTCGATGGCCGCACCCACCCAAGCGTTGCCTGGTTTTCACTCTCACTTTTCTTTCTCGGCTTTTCTCTCTGGTTCCCTTCTGATACCACTGCAGTCGGTTCATGACGTCTTGGGCAGCAGGTGTGGGTGAAACTACTGCGGCTCAATTAAAGAGCTTGTTCTCCAAGATTGTGTGGTGTTGAGATTAAGCTAGTATTTTGAATGAGTCAAATGTATTTGTGTTGTCAACAGTGTTTGTATTTAGCCATTAACTGAGCTTGATTTCATTTATCACCTTCTAGATTTGATGCAGAAAGAAAAGTGCGATGAGACTCGGCTGATACTCCAGGCTTTGAGGTGATAAGACCCTTGTGTGGTC